CTGAGGATCCCCACAGTTTCTTGAGAATTATGGAATATTTACATAAATTATTTCAATTTCTTTATTTTTATCTCAAACAGTATAGATAATGAAATCTATATATAATGTCTTTTGCAAAATGTAAAATTAATTTTTGTATTCTTTATTAACTAACATTAAACAATAGTGACTTCCTTTTCAATTTTGACGAATCGTGTGCTATTGCTATTTACGTTCAATTTAATAATTCTTTTGTAAATATTTTTCAATTACGTCACAATATGAAAAATAGTAAACATTTTTTTGAAATTTGCTTCCTTTCTGTTCGATTTTGAACTACGTGACTTCCGAAACATTTCATTTACATACTGGAAAGTAAAAGACCAACCAACTTATATAAATAGACAATAGACAATAATATAATATAGTAACATCAACCAACTTATATAAATAGACGTGCAAGCATACGATTCAGGGAATAAAATGACGTTGAAAATATAATTAGTGATTATTCATCAGGCACGAGTTGTGCTTCATGGCTCCGAGAAAGTTATCTCTGGTAGTCTTCGTTGTCCTGCTTGCTTCCTACCATCCAACGGCAGCAATTGAAAGTATGTTTAAAAATTTGGTTTTGTCAAGCTTTTTAAAATTAAAGTGGGAATATAATTTAAAGATTCAGACAATATAATTTAACAATACAAAAAACTTAAAATGATTTCATGTGTTAATGAAAGTGACAAATCAGAATAAATTTTGCTAGTTTCTAACCGACAGTTCTGTTTAGATATGTACAAAACACACACACTCTCTTTCTCTCACACACACATACAAATTTTAGACACACACACAAACTGGCAGACAGTTTTTTTGAGTTGAGTCTGACGTAACTTAACATCCATAAGTTGAACAAATTAACAATTATTCATAATTATTTTATGTTCTCATATAGGAGTGAATAAAACGATTCTGACGCTCAGGAATCATAAAGGGTGCTATCGCAGCGTAGCAAATGACAATAATGCAATTGTAACAATAATGGAAAGGAATAATACTGGTATACTTGAATGTTACAAAGAGTGTTCTAATTACATATACCATGGCATAATGGTTAGCTAATTATTAGAAAAGTAGTAACATATGCAAATATCATTTTGACCATTTTTTTTACTTTACTTCATTTCAGTTCAAATTATTTTTTTGTTGATTATTTTGATAATTCAGGAAAAGTAGAAACATATGAAAATAACATTTTGACCATTTTTTTTACTTTACTTCATTTCAGTTCAAATTATTTTTTTGTTGATTATTTTGATTATTTAGGAAAAGTAGTAACATATGCAAATAACATTTTGACCATTTTTTTTACTTTACTTCATTTCAATTCAAATTATTTTTTTGTTGATTATTTTGATTATTCAGGATGTCGATAAATGCAGTTGTAAAAACAGTCTTGGGACCAAAGTTGGAGCAAGAAATTGTGATCAACTTTGTTCTGATGGCTTTCCTTGTGGAGGGGATAAATTCTTTTCTTTTTATGAAAGTAACAAGTTTTGTTATTAAAATCACTTGTGTTGAGTGCTAGATTTGAAGGACGCCTTCTTCAAGCTGTCCATCAAAGTCTATAGCAATTCAGCTTGGTCATATTAAATCTGTGTTAATGAAAAATTTATAACAACTTTCATTACTGCATAACCATTAGTGAGCAAATTACTATTTTATTGGCTTTTCAATTGTTCACATACAAAAATGCAGAAAACACAATTGTTCCAGTCGGATGTTTTAACTCAATAGAAATTGATAATGTATCGGTGATATCAACGACAATTTCTAGCTGCAGAGATACCTGTTATGAACATCTGTTCAAATACAGCGCCTTCGACGTTAGTTATCAAATTTATTATTTGAATCCAATTTTAATTGCTCGATATAAATTCCGCTAACAATAGCCGATTACAAAAACGTTTATGATTCTATTTAATTTTGCCCCGCAGTTGCGTGTTGAAGTAGAGTGTGTGCATGCCCTATTAAGTGCCTGATTAATGTTTGTTTTTGTCTCTTCGTTAAAAGAGCAGCGACTCCACGGTTCAATTTAATCTGCTAGTTGGAATGTTATATTATAAAATAAACTACCGCGAGAAACTAGATTTAATTAGAATTACCAAAGTTCTAGTCAACAACAATTACAAAATAGCGACTATCCGAGATACCATCAACCGTAAACTACAACATTTCAATAACAACAAACAAGGCGAAACTATAACTTTCTACTACAGAAACTACATGTCATCAGCATTTAAAAGAGACGAATCTATTCTAAAGTAATACACACGATAGAGTAGACCCGAGAAGTTATTATCAAAGACCCAAAACGGGCAAACCTGATAATAAAGAATAATTGCACGTTTCCCAAAAATTCAACCCTGGAAAGATATTCTCTAATAAAATTACAATAGGTAAAACCAAAATATGGCCTAAACGATTCACCATGATCACCAACGATTTTTAATAGATCAATAGATTGATTAAAAATATGAAATTACTGTAATGAATATTGAAAAGCTCAAACTTTACAAATTTTACAACACCAAAGTTAATTTTTACAACGTCAAAGTTTATCTTGATAAAGTCAATATTTTCCTATATATACAACAAGGAGCACTGACGATGATTCATTCGGAATCGAAATATGGCCTTATTTGCAGAATGAATTCGAAAAATAAGTTTATTTTGAATTTTAATAAACTAAACTTTCACTAAAAAACTTTAGTGAGAAAAATCGAAAAAACGAACTACAAACATATTAACGCGAAACATTCGGTAGAATTTATAGAATATTGTAAAAATTATGGTCTATTACCAACATATATATATATTGCATATATATAGCATATATGGTTACATCTGCTGCTTTAACTTTTATTAGAAGACTTTTATTCAAATAACTTCAGCTTTTTTATTTATAATTTTATTTTATTGTTGACAATAATTGAAAAAATTTAGCAAGCATTACTCTTCCATTCAATTAGTTTTCTGTTATTATTTTGCGACGTATCTTTTTTGTTCTCGAAGTATCAGCAGCCAACGTAGACGATTCATGCCTCGTCAGTACATGTTGTATGCAACAGAGATCTTGAATTTGAACCCGGCAATGCTGGGCATTTTAACAATTACATCATCACACTGTCCGAAACTAAAAATCAATTTTTAACAAAATTTAGAGCAAACGAAATACTTTTTATTGATAAATGTGACAAATTTTTAGGGCTTTGATTGCATTTGTGGGAATGTTTTCACCATCAAGATTCAGAAGAAATTTACTGATTGCCTTGGTCAAAAAAACAATTTCATACTTTTTGACGGTTAATATAAGCAGTTGCTATTGGTTGTTTTAGTAACTTTCCAGTAAAAATGAACACGAATTGTTTCTGTGAAATGAGCAAATTCATTTATCTTGATCATAATGAAATTGCTTCAAGTCTTACTTCTGTCGAAGCAAATGTTCAGAAATCGTTTGATTTTGAAAAAATATTAAAAATCATTAAAAATGAAATTTCCATGTAATAACAGTTTCTTTTATTTCCACTTGAACAGTTTCCTTGGATATAGATAAGCACACCACCTCAACCAAATACCAATACTGCCTGAATGATGTAGTAGAGAGCACAAAAAGTTATTGTAGAACCGCAGTTTGTTTGCCAGGCTGGAGCGGGAAGTTTTGCAATCAGAAAGGTGCAGAATTTTATAAAACATTAGGATTTATCTGAACGTTTGTGGTCTTAAAATGATCAGCGAAAGATTTATTGAGCATGTTATCTAGTATCTATTACTTTTTGCTCAATGAACGTGTGTGCTATTAAACATAGCTCAGTCGATAGAAGTGCTTTCTTACGTGCGATGATCTGGTTCAAGTACAGTCGGTTCGAAATTAGAATTCGAAATTTGCATGTGTTGTTAGGTGTGTATGGTCATCGTGTGGTGTGGATGTTACAGCTATCGTTGGACAAAATTATAGGATAAATATAATTATTATAGAATAATAGGTGAGCAGTTCCGCGCTTGTCCAAGTTGCGTAATAAAGTCCAAATAAATGAACGTTTCAAGTTATTATTTTGTTGACAAATATTTTTAATCAAAGTAGATGTGCTACGAAACATTTTCAATTTTGTTTAAGATCCTCGGAAGCTTTATTTTATTTTTGAAATATTGTTGATAAATTAGTTAAAACGATAAATTTCACTATGCTCAAATGTTTTAGCTAAAAAATTCGTTTGCAATTCATTTATTAATTGATAACACAATAGTAACGAAAGCAATTTTCATTCTATTCTCAGTTAGAGGATTGAATAATAATATTTATAAATGAAAATAATGATATTTTTAAAGTAAAAAAAAAGAATGATGATGATAAAAATAAAAACAATGTCATTTATTGAGCTAGTGAAGCGCCCTCGAAACAATGAAACTCTGTTTCGAGGTAAAATGTTGCAAATATGGGTGTGTTAAAAAAATTTAACTAAAAAAGTAGTGAACAGAAGTTTTTCAACATTTTTTAGTTTTAAACAAATTTAGTTGTTGCAAATACAAATTTTTTTCAACATTGTTTTGTACACCCTAAAACACATGGATATATTATATACATCCATGGTGAAACATTTAAAGAAATTTGAAATTTTTTGATATTTTTATTTGCAGTGAAAAAAAGCTCCTCAAGAACACCGTATGTGACTGTCGTAACAATCGTCAAAACACCAGCAAGTGAACCCAACAATTTATGCAGAGAAAATAATGGAGGATGTGGCGAGAACGTCTGTGTTGAGGTTCAAAGTGATGTATTTGATTTCCAAGTCAAATGCAACTCGCCAGATAAGGAAATATTCAATGTACCAGAAGTTTACGGTTCGGAAAATATCTAAAAATTAGTTGAATCGATTATTTTGATTTTTTTTTCTTCTCTGCTTCTACAAGTTAAACCTAAGAACGACTGGATTTACAAGGGTTGTTTCAACAAAGTGCAGTCCTCTAAAGAACTGAGGATAGATTCTGTAAAATCGTGTTTTGAATATTGTAAAGAAACATCATTCTACGCAATGAAGGTGGGAGGATAGTTTACGCTCTTCGATTCTGATTTTTAAGTTGTTTTAATTAAAATTTTTCCACTGAAAATGAAAGGAATTTTTGAATTTAAAAAATTCAGGATGGTCGGTTATGCACATGTGCCAACAGTGTTGAGAATGAAGCTGGTGCCGACAAATGCGATAAGAAATGTTCAGATGGGCTGTCGTGTGGAGGATCTTCTTTCCATTCTGTATATGCCAGTAATGTTCTTGAGATAATTTTGAGTTTTTAGTTCAAATTGGCGAGTTTGCACTTACAGTAAAAGTGCCGTGTTTCAAATGATTTGTGGAAATTGCCCGATGTATGTCACATATGTGTGATGCGCTGCGTACATACTTCGTTCGGTGTGAATGGTACAGCTTTTGTTTTGCAGAAATTTTGTAGGAGAAAGCGTTTGTTAAAGCAGACTTTTGATTAGCAAAAAATTGGTATGTAGTGTTTTCTACAAAAATATTCAACGTTTCTCTCAATATTAAATAATAGAAAAATCAAATCAATCAATTACGGTTGGATGTTTCAAATACCTGAAACTTGAGCACAAACATAATCAATTATTAAGTGGAGCTCTTTGTTTGGACAAGTGTAAGGAGCTTGGGTTTCCATACAGCGGGACTAGAGTGAGTTTTTAAGAACCGTTTTTTAGAGTTATAAAATAATTACATGAACTGTCTCAAATACTTTATTTTCATTTTAAATAATATAAATAATGATATCTATAAAAGATGCCTTTTGCAAATTTTGATCGAATATTTTGCTTCTTAGAGTGAAACATGCCAATGTGGGAGAAAAATAGAATTCAAAGACCAGTTGAGCAAAGAACAATGCAAAGAACCTTCTGTGTTCGCTCTCTTATCTGACGGTTCGTGTTTAATGCCTTAATATGTAGTTAAACATTTGTAAATTTTATAATCATTCAGTCTCACCAGATTTAGATGTTCAAGGAAAACCGACAAAATACAACTACTGTATGAATGATAAGATAGAAATTAAGAAAGCTTACTGTAAAACTGGTCATTGCAAATTTGGCTGGAATGGAGCACTCTGTGATAAGAGAGGTTTGAAAATTTGCTTCGAAAACATTATTTGTCATTTTTGATAATTTGTTTAACTTGCACCTTTTTTATTTTAAAGAAACATATGCCCAAAACTCGGAATGGGTTTTTTGAATGTTTCATTAATAAAAATTTTGTCATGAAAAATAAATAGCATTGTAGTGGTATTTTACTTTAAGTTTACATTGAGAAAAACATTTTGATAAATATATTTTCAGCTAAAATAAACTAACGACATTTAGATTGTGATAATAATAGCGGTGACTGTCCCAAGGCAATGATGTGTGTGCAAGAAATAATAAACAATGTTTTGTTTGAAAAATGCCTGTGCGGAGAAGGTCTTTTAACAACCAGTGAATCCGAATGCAAAAGTAAGTCGATAAAATGGAACAGTGTATTTCAAAATATTTGACAAATTGTATTTGCGTTTGGGCACTACCTCCCGAGCAAACAACATTTATAATTCACATGAATGTCTGGCTAGGCTTCAAAACATCAATTTTATTTTTTAACTATATATCAATACTTATAGTACCTCGAACGCACCCACGCACATTTATAGAGTCTGACCTTGCTCTTTAATTTCCATGAACAATTCTTCATTAAATTATTCATCAAACTCATCAAATTATACAATTTTTATTTAATTTTTCAGTTCATTAATAAGTATTTTATTCATTTTTTAGCTTTATTCATATAAAAAAAATTTTCATTGATCTCTTTCATGCATTTTCATATGTTCATGCGTCTTTTGTACAAATTTTCTGGTGCACGTTTAAGCGAACAGATTAGCTTAACCGGCACCCCCTGTTTTAAACCGTAAATACACAAGCGGTTGGAAATTGCACGTTTCACGATTTGTTTTTATTTAGTGGCTTCGTACACTTTCAGAAAAAACCCGCGTAATTTCGGTTCATTCATAATACTGTTTGATAACAAATCACGTGATTCATGAATATTAATGAGTGAGGATTGTAGCTTCTAATACATCAGTTATGACTTATGAATGAAAATATTTGTACTAGAAAAAATAAAAATGAACTGTTGTTTGAAAATCAGTTAAATGACCTACAATTAAAAAACAACAGTGCTTTATTTCAGAATATCTTTAAAATAATTTGTAATTAATAAGTAAATTGTTTTTAATTAGTTCGCGATTAAGTTGCAAATAATTTGTAATTAGTTGGAAAAAGTATTTGATTTTTTATAAAAAAAATTTTTTTTAACAAACAGGTTTTTTGATAACAAATTTAGTAATTTTTTTCTGATAAAAATTTTCTTTGAATTATACACAAAGAGCCGGAAATATTAAGAGAAGATGTTAAAGACGAGGGTATCTATTCTCAAATTATCATCATATTAGCACTCTTTGGTTGTTTACTGTTGTTTTCAATGGGCTTTGGACTCAAATATCTGATATCTTCCAGAACTGAGTCCGGTAATAAATCAATAAACCAATAATTTTTTCAGAGAAATATAAAAATATCTTTACAAATTTAAAAAAAAAATTATTATCATTCAGTTTATTCCTTATAAGATTTTAAATGGAAAAAATGTTTTTTCATACTTTTTTTTATTAATCACGAGCAAATGATTTTTAGAAAATTAAAATGTTCAGTCAACTGAATATATCCATAAAAAGTGGATTTATTGCTTCATTTATTCAATTTATTTAATTTGCGTTTATTTTTTCACTAATTTTAGAAAGGCAACCGGGCACACCAACAGGTTTATATTAGATAGAAACTGTTTTCATTTTTCACCAACATTCATGCAGTGGCTGCTCTAAGGTGAAAGATGTGGGCTGGCACCAAGAAAAAAAAATCAAATATTCCGTTTATAATCTTTATAATCTATCATAATAAAGTAAAGGTTTTATCAACTAAGAATTCTGAAAACCATCCCACACCAAAAAATGAAATAAACGGGTATGACGAGAATTAGCATAATAGGGTTTTTTTTATTTCAATTTTTTAAATCACCTTTCAACCTACAGGGAAAGGCAGGACCCGCCACTGCACCTATACGATATTTATTTACAATTCTTTCGATGTTTAATGAAAAATTTATTTATACCATATACACCAATTGACAGTGAGAAATGTAAGAAAAAGTTTAAATAATATGTAAGAAAAATTTTTAATAAGATGTAAGAAAAATCTGCCCGATAAGATCTATGTTAACCTCACAAGTTTATACAATACAAACTAAAATAGTGATATATATATATAAAATAGTGATATATATATATATATATATAAATATATATATATATATATATATATATATGTTGGTAATAGACCATAATTTTTACAATATTCTATAAATTCTACCAAATGTTTAGCGTTAATATGTTTGTAGTTCGTTTTTTCAATTTTTCTCACTAAAGTTTTTTGGTGAATGTTTAGTTTATTAAAATTCAAAATAAACTTATTTTCCGAATTCATGCTGCAAATAAGGCCATATTTCGATTCCGAATGAATAATGATTCATTCGGAATCAGTTCTGTTTAATTGCCCTCTATAGACCTGGCTCGGTGCTTTCTGCTGTTTATATAGGGAAATATTGACTTTGTTAAAATGAATTTAGATGGAGATTGACTTTGTCAAAGTGAACTTAGATGGCACCTAATTTCCATTTTTTTGCACGTCTCACTCGCTATCAAATCAAAGTGCAGCATTTGTCTGTTTACGATAAATAACCCGCACAGGCAACAAATCGTCAGAAATTCGTTTTATTTCACTACTCGGCACAGCAAATTCATGGTCAACATCATCAGTTTGGCATATATTCGGCACTGGATAATTCGAAAGTGCTTCAACAAAACACTCTTCATTCAAGTCTTTCTACGATCTCATATAAACTTTTAACAACCTTGGGCAAACTTGAGTCAACATCATTCTCACATTTATATAACTCTGATCTGAGTACGCTCAACACGAATCAATTTTTATATTAAGAATTGGAAAATCGTTTGGTGAACCAATTTTTAGATCCAAACTACCTTAAGACACATGCGTTTGTTGATTAACATGATTCAGTAACTGGAACATATCAAAAATTTCATGTTGTCGTAAAGTGATAGGACTATCCCTCTTTTCAACGTGAACGTTATAATCACCCATGAGTGCATGGTGAGTTTTTGACATTGTAATAAACTCCAACATATAAATCAACTTTTCAAAAAATACTAAAGTTATCTGTTCCGAGCCAGGTCTATAGAGGGCAATTAAACAGAACTGAACGATCCCAATCTTCAATCTGATAGCTACAGCTTCAAACTTAGAAATAAAGGTAGATTTATTTTTTAATATTTATAATAACTCAAAAAGTAAATCACCAATTCTCTATGACATGGGTTGTATGATTTGACGTAATCCACAAATGAGAAACCAGGTAGCATAGCTAAATCAACCAAAATATTACCTCCAGTTCCATGCCATGTTTCACACAACACCATTATGTCGAGACGCGCATAACTCATTCCATAGACATCATCAACTATATTGTTAATAAATCTGACATTTAACAGACCAATCCTAACAATCCTTTTATAAACATTATAATTATCTTTGCCAATTCTGTAACTGCTAAAATTAGCACATTGTACCATTACCAACTGTTCTTAACATTACCCAGTGCCAATAATTAAACTTATTGTCTTTTTGCAGATAAAAGTACCACTTTTCATCTCCCAACATCTCCTCTCACTCAGTATTAAAACCCTCCCTATCTTCAGATTCCTGTTTCCTAGCAGCACTGACAAGTTTTATCGAGTCATTCCTTTGTTCACTTATGAGATCATGGCTCAGAACAAGACCCGTTAAATCATCACCAATGGATTTTAATCTGTAACTATTTCTTAGGACCTATTCTTTATTTTTGACATCATCAAATTTGATCAAAATCAGACGTGTAATGATATCACTTTATTTGCCAAATCGATAAATTTTTATGATTTTTTGTCATCGCATGCCCCATTCGTCAAAGGTTTAACTATTTTTTCTATTTTGGTTTTATCAGCAACTTTTCCTTCAATCTGAAGACCATCAAGTTTACTTTTCTCTTCTTCGATTCAACAACACAGTTTATAGTTTTACTCAAAATTTTTATTTTTCTATAATTTATATCTTTTAATTTCATGCTTTCGAAGTTTTAGTGTTTAGTAAATAATTTAATTATTTGTTTCAATTTTAAATATTTTAGTGAGTAAAGAAAGAATTGTACAATTGTTATATTTAGATGACCTCAGTGACGAAGTTGAAAAATAACGCATACCTAAGCCAAAAAAGTTTTTCAGTCGAAAATTAAATAACTTTTAGACAGTATTTCATTCTTATCTCGTTTTCGATGAAAAAACACATAATACTAAAAAAACAACTTAAGTTAACTTTTTTTTAAATTTGATATATACACTTGCAGATTTTTTTTTTTTTGGAACAGCCTACCTATCGAACTACGCATATCCGGGTTATCATTAGCTGAGTTTAGAAAACGTCTAAAGACATACCTATTTGGTAACTCCTAGTGATCTCAACCGATGATGGCTTCGCTTTCAACATGCTTCATACAAGGAGAGCGCTGATGAGAAGCAATTATAATTGGCGCTATATAAATACAATATTTGATTTGATTTGATATTAGCACTATTTTTTGGGTCTAAATCTGAATAACTTTAGTTTGGAAACAAGATGAAGAAACACTTTTGGTCAATTTGAAAAACATTTTTCAAGAAGTTCGATTTATAGGCAATAAAAATAACAAAATATTCTTATTCAAGATAATTATTTAATGAAATTATTGTTCAATGTAAATAGATTTTATTAATTTAACAATCTATGTAAAAATTTAATTTTTTGCACTCAATTAACTTTTCCTTTCAGAAGTAACGGATGTGGAACAGCAAGTGTCAATTTCAGGTTATTTAATCTGTAATACAAATTGAAAAAAATTCAAGATTTTTTCCATTCAATAAACTTCTACTTTCATCGGTAACAGATCAGGAAGAGGTAAAGTCAATTTCAGGTTAGTGGTTACAAAATGGGAAAAATATTCTTTCACAAATCTTTCGTTTTTTCTATTGGCTACCGAACCACGTAGCCAAAATCAAAACAATCGTTTTAATTATTGGGAACGGTGATAGCATAGTCGTAAACTGCGACAAATCTAATTGATGCCGATTTAAAATTTAGAAATTTAAAAAATGTTCTATCGAATTATCATTAATTAAATTGTTTTTGTTTTGCTAATTTTTAGATTTAAGCTTCAGAGGTTACTGCTGCTTTCAATTTTTCATATACGGTAAAACCTAATTCGTTTTCTAGTTTTCGGTAGCTTTGTCATATTTTATTGTCAAATTAATGTAAAAATTAAAATATCATTCATTATTATTTTAAATTCTATACAGGCAGCAAATCAACTATCGGCTCGTGAAGTTATTAAAGAGATTTTGGTTTCTACAAGTATCTAACGCTTATTTCACTTTCACCAAGAACTTTTACGAAATTTTAATTATTATATTTGATGTTGAATGAATTTTCATCACATGCTCGTAAACATCACAAATCTTTACAGAACTAACT